TTGAAAAGGGGTAATTTTGAAAATTGATAGAAAATATGAGTATTTTTAAAAAAAGCTACACCAAAAGGGGCATTTCTCAAAAATTCTCATAAATTTATAAATTATGTGATAAACTAATTAGTATATGGTTAGTATCAAATATCTTATACATTAATATATGTATTTATACATGTTAACTTAATTGCACATGTAATCTTATGTGATTCTACTCCTAAAAACAGTAGATGTGAGTGTGACCAAAGTTTTTAAAAAGCTGGAAAAAAATAAAGAAAATGAATATGAGAAAAATGATAATTAATGAATTAAGGATGAAATGGTCTAATTAAGTGAACAAAGTATTTGAAATAGTGTTAGTAGAAATAACTAATTTTGAATATTTCTATGGATAGATAATGGTATTATATTTAAAACGTTTACTTACATGGTTAATTTCTCATTTTCTTTTGTTCTCTATATGCTCTAATTTCCCCTTTTCTCCCAAATTAAACAATAACCTCAACAAAGTTTTATGGTTATTTTTCCACACATCAAAATAGTGGAACACGTTCATTTCATTGTGTACTTATAAAGCTATAGACAGTTTTTACCACTTGGATTTTAAGAAAGTCGTATTATAAAGCAGATGATTAAATTTGATGAATTACGCTGTAGTCTGATGGATTAGTTTCCAATGGTCACCAATATTTTACAAATATTATAATAATATTTTTGATATAATTTTACAATTTAATTAATTTTGAATTAGAACAAACTTTTTTCAAGCTATAATAAAACAAATGGCAAAAAAAGTTATAAACAAGAATTTAGCAGTTCTCAAAATGAGAAATGATTTTTACATAACTATGGAAGAAAACAACACTTAACTTCATAAATCTTTTTATTGCAAGCGTAACACTTTCTCGTGGCTATCCCTACTATAGTAAAAGAGAAGTACAAAAGTTTCTTGGGTCGGGTTTTTTTAAAAAATTAACCCGAAATTTTTCAATTGGATCTTACTAAAAATTTAAAGATATTAAATACCAGTTTCCATATATATTATTTCGAAATCTACCAAATTAAACCATCAATATCGGTTTTGGAAAGTACATTAATCTTAATTTGTTTAAGGAAAATACATTAATGTATGATTTTGTATATTGGTTTAACAAATTAACCTAAAAATCAGAAATATAAGTTAAATATAAAATATTTATCAAATTATCCATAATATTTCAAAACAAAATGTTCCTTAAATATCTTATATTAATATTTAGATGTATACTTTTCTCATATATTAACTATGATCTTCACACCAATTACGGGATAATTCATTTTCAACCATCTTTAATATATTTATTTGGCAATACTTTTGAATTTCT